AGTGGAGCGCTGGAGGCCCTGGAGCGTCCCGTTCTGTGGGGAGGCGGAGGGGTCCCCTCATCTCCCCCGTGAGGTGGGGCCTGTCCCAGGGAGGCTGGCGACCATCGTCGCCTTGTTCTGCGTGGCCTCCGGCCGGCGGGGCGGACTGACCCCTGGCCGGGGCCTGCGGGAGCCGGACGGAGCTGCAGGCCTGAGGGTCTCACGGCTTCTCTTTTGTTTCTAGGCCTGCAGGGGCCCGGGCTTCAGTTTCAGGAGGACACCATGACCGGGAGGTGAGTGACCTGCCTTGAGGTGGCTCTCGCCTCGTTGCAACTGTGTACTTTTGACAAGTCTTCTGGTAAAATGAGCAGTTCTAAGAGTGAGCAGTAGAAGCTGCGAGCAGTGCCCGTTTTCCCGTGGCTGCTCTGGTTTTCCAGGACAGCTCCTTTGCCCAGTGGCCTGCTGGGCCCTCTGTTAATCATCCATACTTGTGTCTTCCTGCTCTGAAGCCTCTGTCTTAAGCTGGTTGTAGCGGTCTGTACTGCGTGCCAGGCTTTCCCTGGCCTGTCAGCATATGCAGGGTATTAATAATGGTTTTGTTAGCACAGGGCTTGTGAGCTTTCAGTGTACAGTAGAGGCTTTGACACATTGCCTCCTCGAGTTCTTTTATGGATGTAGGGATTGAGTTTGTAAGTGGTGAAGGGATTGAATCAGAGTCACAACTTTTTTGAATTAGTGTTTATCTGTGGAGTTTGTTTTCTGTTACGTGTGGAAGGTAGAACTGGATAGCTTTAATATAGCTGTATTGTGGGACAGCTGCTGGATGCAGTTGAGACAGTCGTGATGCTTACACGATGTGTGGAATGAGCTTTATAATTGCTTTATCTGTGTAGTGTAGGCAGATCTTTGTCATGAAAAATTGTTGAGGGGTTTGTGTAATGTCACTTGTCCAGTGCATGTGGGGCTGTCCCCATAGACCGCACTTAATTCCTTTGAGGCTCAAATTAGCAGTCGTTAATAGCTTCTCCTGTAGCTGTTACTGAAACACAGGAGACTCTGGTGCATATTAAAAAAAGTACTCATTGCAGAATGTTTGTAGACATTTGAACACATAACACCTACTAATGTAGAAGCACTTTGGTTTTAGTAGGAAGCCTGTAGCGCCAGGAATTAATAACAAGCAGAACGATACAAAGTTCTTAGAATTGTTTTGTATCCCAGTAACTGACTCAAAGGATTTGCAATATTTTGTAAAAGAAAATGCAGTGAGGGTGTTCCCTCAGCTGAATTTCTATTGGTCCGGAAATAGTTTCTGCTGAAACAGCACATAATGTATTTTTATCTTTGATGATTTGATATGAGTTATAATTTATAAATGTTTTCAATATGTTTAGGCTGTGGTGCAAGGCCATTTTTGCTGGCTACAAACGTGGCCTCCGAAACCAGCGGGAGCACACCGCCCTTCTGAAAATTGAAGGTGTTTATGCCCGTCAGGAGACAGACTTCTACTTGGGCAAGAGATGTGCATATGTATACAAAGCTAAAAAGTAAGTCACTTCGCGTTGTTTTGCTAAATTGGCTAATTTCTTTGTCAGATTTTGCCAACACCAGCATGTGAGCTTTCTGTTCATCGAGCTTTTGTTAGAATGGGAAGAAATTGGGATCAATTTATCAGTAGAATGGCAATGGACTACTTTGTAGACCGATTTCCTGGGTTTAAAGTCCTTGGTTATTTTTGCTTTAATTGGCCTATGTGTTCTCAACTCACATCATGAAATTATGTGATGTAATAATTTTTTGTTACAAATGATGTGTTAGATAGAGATCAAATGGGGTGAGAAACAAAATTTGCCTGAGACTGGCAAAAACTGAAGGTGGGTCGATAGAGTAAATTGAAATGAGGTGAATTTGTGGCAAGGGCCACTGAGTTACTCAGACAGCAGAATTTTTTGAAGCCTGTAGGAATTTGTATCCTGGTTTTTGCATGCCTGTGTTAGAGCACTGTCATTTCTGCTCTGCTGGCATTGGTGGAAGCCTTGAGAGCAGTTACCTATTACGTTCCCTTTTTTTTCTGTGAGTGTAGTTGTTCCTATATGGGAGTTGAGAATTGCCTTGAATAAAAAGGACTAGATTGTTAATTTGACCACAATCATTTCCAAGCTGGCAGAGGGCTTTTCTTAAATCGCAAGTTTTTGCAGTCTCTCCCGATGGCTTAGACCTCTCTTGTCTTTGGTGTCTCTGGAGGAATCTTAATGGATAACATGTTGCATGTTCTTTGGAGTTGAAACTGAAGACTTTTTTGTTTGACTGTGTTACCGTCAGAATTTTCCAAGTCTTCAAGCTTTGTGTGGCTTGTTAATAGTTCCTCAGCAGAGCTTCTGATAAATTACAAGCTGCAATACGTACCCATTTGGAAGGTATAATGAAAATCCCAGACTTAGAAATTTTTACAGATAAATAGAAGTGGGTCCAGCTAGAGTTGGCTGGGAAATAAAGTTATGGAGGTGCCTCAGAGAGGCTGCATTGCCTGCCCCATCGCTGATCAGCGCTGCGCGTGACTGATGTGCTCAGCGGCTCCTCTCCTCTTTCCTCAGCAACACTGTAACCCCCGGTGGGAAGCCCAACAGGACACGAGTGATCTGGGGGAAGGTGACCCGCGCCCATGGGAACAGTGGCATGGTTCGTGCCAAATTCCGCTCCAACCTTCCTGCCAAGGCCATTGGACACAGAATCCGGGTGGTAAGTAGGTTTATTTTAGCAACAAGATATTTATTGGTAGTTTCACGGTGCCTTTTAATCCCATGTAGTATGAAGGAAAACTTGAACTATGGTTTTGTTGTGTCACTGTTGCTTATTAAATGTGCCTCTTTGGTAAGTGCTCCTTTTGGAACTGGGAGAGGTTTGTTGCTGGCTTTGTGTGCTGAGGGGATTCGTCTCATCATGAAGAGGTTTGACAAGCTTGCTCGGGTTGTCTGGAAAGGCTGTTCAAGTTTCAGGACTCTTCCTTGGTTCCCTTCTAAAGCTATCTTCATTCCTTTTCCCCAGATCTTGTGCGTATTTTTTTCACACTCTTTTCCTCCAGTTCCTGCCTGTTGACAGATTTCTTTTTTTCTGTCTCCCAGATGTTTTATGTAGCTGCAGGGTGTGCTGTCCTGACCTGTCACTAGTTATTGCTCCACAGTCCCATGTTTGAGCCACAAGGTTTCAGTGAGACTGTCCCTTTAGGTCCCTCACCCAGAGTTTTGGTGCAATATCTTTCTAGTGATGTTGTCAAAAGCACTATCAGAGCGTTGCAGTCCTTCCTTTCTGTCTTTCTCCTGCGTGTTAGAAAAAGCATGGTAGGAGTGACACAGTTAAATCTTGAAGCCTTGAGGTGTGGGGGAGCCTGTGTACCAGCAAATTACTCTTTCAAGTCACCAAGCTAGTTTCTATGCTTTTCCATTCTTGCACCTCTTCTGTGTAAATGAGGGAGTTGCTTTTATAGCAGTTGAAAGGATGGATAATCTAGATTTTAACTGGAAAACTTGTGTTTAGGGTAGCACTGTCCAATAACAAACATTCTAACCTGATTCTGTCCTTGTCTTTTACAGATGCTGTATCCATCTAGGATCTAAATTTTTATTGGAAATAAAATGGAGAATCTGTTTAATTTTTTGTATACTTGTATTTTTTATCCTCTCCACCTATTTTGAGGGACTTTTTCTTTTTTAATAGCGTATCAGAATTCACAGCACAGGGGTAGAGTAGTGACTCTAAGCTACATGGTGAAACAGAGATTTGGTCTGTGCTTGGTAAGACATTTTTAGAGCAGACTGCATTCTGAAGGTGAGTAACTGGCAGCCTTTACTGCAACCTATACCTCCCATCACGGTATATGGACAGTTTGCAGGGCTAAATAATAAATGTTTACAACCTCATAAAATGTGCACACAGGCTTTATACAGATTATGAGAAATAATTCCTTGCCTACCTAGTGGAGAGAAATTCCTTGTTCCTGTTTTTCTTGGTGATGACTGCTGTTGAGACAAAACTGTAATGGGATGCTAAATCATAGAATCATAGAATGTCTTGGGTTAGAAGGGACCTTCGAGATCATCTAATCCAACCTCCCTGCCATGGGCAGGGATGCCCTTAACTAGACCTGGTTGTTGAAGGCCTCATCCAACCTGGCCTTGAGCATCTCCAGGGAGGGGACATCTTCAGCCTCTCTGGGCAATCTGTTCCAGAGTTTTGCCACCCTCATACTGAAGAATTTCTTCTGAGATCCAATCTAAACCTATTCTCCTTCAATTTAAATCCATTTTCCCTTGTCCTATCGCTGGACACTCTCCAGCCTTCCTGAGGGTTCCCTTCAGGTATTGGAAGGCAGTTGTAAGGTTCCCCCAGAGTCTTCTCCAGAATGAACAATCCCAGCACCCACAGCCTGTCCTCGTAGCAGAGATACTTCAGCCCCTCTGTAGTGGGATCAGCTGGAATCACCTCTGGGAGGTGAGGAACCTCCTGCCCTGCCTGCCGGACATGCTAGTGCTTGTGATGATCCATCAAGACCCTGAGGAGCAGCTGGATCGGGCAGTGAGGGTGCTGAGGATGATGCAGTGTCTGCTGGATGGGGCCTGGCAGCTTGTGGCAGAGACAGCAGTCTACAGCCCAGGTCAGCCTGATGGCACCCTGGAGGCAAAGAGAGCTGCATGTAGAGCACTGTGAGAATTCTTAAACTGCCATGAAGGTATCCTGGGACATAGCTAAACAGGACAAAGAAACAAAATTTTTGTTTTGGAAACAAAAACTGCACTCAGGGTGGGACATGGAAGGGTCTGAGGGACAGTGTAGACCAAAGTGATGCTTTGTGGTTGGTTCAGATGCAGGAGGGAAGATAAGCTGTGCCTTGCAGGCACTGTGAGCTGGAAACAAGAATGAGGGTTTAAGTGCTGGGGTGGGGATGGACACTGAGTTTGAACCAACTGTTTGTCCTCTTCCAAACTAGATGGTGGTGGCTCTTGCTCCTTGCCCAAAAACACATGTGGCTGTACACAAACTACAGTCCTGACTCCACCACCGGGGCCTTCCGTGATGATGTTAACAGCTCCATAATCTCACTGACCCTGCATCCTTCATTGGAGGGATGTGCCAACATTTTTGGGGTGAGCCATAGGCCAAAACTTTGACCAGGATGATGCCTGCTGTTCCGTCGCATGTGTTTCCTCCCCTAGAAGTTGACTCTCAGCATCCGTTCATTGTTTCGCTCACAGAGTTCAGTTACTGCTGTGCTCTGCCTGAATGTAAGCAACACCAGGTATTGAAGACGGAGAACGAATTCCCCTGGGCAGCAGAACCTGGCAGGTTGGTTTTAGTACTGTTCATCTGGATGACCATCTGTAGAAACACTTCCCTCGTGGTGTCTTGCTTGTCCACCCCGTCCTTCTGCCTGGACATGATTCATTATGTGGCTGCTGCCAGAAGGTGACACTGTACCCTCAGCACCACACTGTCCTTGCTACAAAGCTCAGATTTCTTTGCTGTGTTGGCTGAGCTTGCTTAAATATCAAAATGTGCCCTAGAAACCAGCTGTCAACAGAGAGGGAGCTTGAGTCGGGCCAGCAGCCTCTGGATTTTAAGCTATCCCAAAACTGAGACACTGAAAGAAACTCAGAGGTAAGACCTAAGACCACATTTTCCCAGGAGAACATGGATGCAGGGGTCTTGGGTACACAGTTCCCATCAGTATGAAGCTTCTGAAGTTCCCCGGAGTTCTATGTAGTCACAGGGTGGTAGGGGAGAAAAGTTTCCTTCCCTCTCTTGCATATTGAGCAAGATGCTCCAGCCGTGTCCTGGGCTACATCAAGACAAGTGTGATGAGCAGGTTGCAAGAGGTGGTTTTGGGAGACCCTGTCGTCAGTAGTGTCCAGCTCTGGGGTCCTCAGCACAAGAAAGACATGGACCTGTTGGAGCAGATCCAGAGGAGGGCCACAAAAACATCAAAGGACTGGATCACCTCTCCTATGAAGAAAGGCTGAGTGTTGGGATTTTTCAGCCTGGAGAAGAGAAGGTTCCAGGGAGACCTTATTGTAGCCCTTCAGTTCTTAAAGGGGGCTTATAAGAAAGATGGGGACAATCTTTTTAGCAGGGCCTCTTGTGATAGGACAAGACATAATGGTTTTAAACTAAAAGAGGGTAGATTTAGACTAGATAAAGGGATGACATTTTTTACAATGAGGGTGGAGAAACACTGGAACATGCTGCCCGAAGATGAGTGGCAAAAGATCCATCCCTGCAAACATTCAAGGTCACGTTGGACAGAGCTCTGAGCAACTTGATCTAATTAAAGATGTCTCTGCCCACTGCAGCAGAGTTGGACTAGATGACCTTTAAAGGTTTCTTCCATCCCAAAACATTCTCAGCCCTACATAGCTCCCTGCTTTGCTGCTGTAACTGGTCCCCAACCTGCTGCAGTCCAACAAAGGCAAATCATGGGAGATCTGCTCTTTAAATGTTGAATGCCTTTCTCATTTTGACTAACGCAAGGCTGGCAAGTTTTCATGCGATAGCTCTGCTGCCAGGCTCGCAGGAGCACTGCGATCCAGCAAAGCAGGAGCAAGCAGCAGTGACCTGAAACCTCTCCGGCCAGCTCAGCTACAGCCCAAGGAGGAGATGCAGCAACAAACATTGGGAGCACTGCTGCACAACCCAGAAGTCAGCCAGGGGCAACAGGTCTCTTCCCAGGATAGAGAACAACCTGCTCTGCTCAGTTGATGTCACATGCAGTGAGGGCAGCAGCCATCCTGTGGGCTCTGGGCATGTGAGCATCTGAGTGCTACCTCTGGGAGAAGACCTTGATCAAGACAGCACGGGAGCCAAACTGACAAGCTTTGCCAGTTTTCAAAAAACCCTTGCCTAGCCCTGCTCCTCACTGATCTGGCACATCATGCCTACATGCCAAGGCAAAGCCCAACTGTCTTTTGGTGTCCTGTGGTGTACCAGATGGGCACCTTGCCAGCTGATCGTCTGTGACCTCTTTCAGGACTCAACAGTGTCAAACCAGATAGATCCGATGGGCAGAGTGGGTGGGTTTGGAGCAATTCCAGCCTGGGAAGCTGATGAATTTGCCCTTTGTCTTTATAAAGGAAGCAATTCTGGGAAATTAGGGGACTGGCCCATGCCAAGAAGGGGATTTGTGAGAAGGAGTCAGGAGGATGCAAGAGAGAGTGTAAGGAAGGCAGGAGGGCTGTGTTTCTGTGCAGTGGTCCCTAAACACAAGTCTGCAGCTCGGGGGAGTCTGGGTAACTTTTAAGAGGTTCTGAGACGGTAAGCACATAAAAAGTGGGACTGCTGGTGTAGAAGGCATATGTGTGCTAGGTAAAAATGGAGGGTGGTGGCTGTGAACAAGTAGTTCTGGGTCCTGTCATGAAACAAAGGCAGGGGTCCATCTGAGGCTCTGGTAGGACAGCCAGGAAAAACAGCTTGGTCCTTGTGTTGGATTTCATGCCAATCACCATCCCATTTTTGAACATCCTCCCCGTGGAGGAGCAAAGAGTGGAGCAGGCTGAGAGGAAGCCTCCATTGCTCTCTAAGGCAGAGACATCTCTCCTACTCTGTGATCAGGACTGCCTCAATGCCATCAGCTTTCCACAGATGACCCTGAACCAGATCCACATCCTTCTCTTCAGAAATACCTTCCTATGCCCCTCTGACATCCAGAAATGGATGGCGACTCCAGGAAACGTGTTAGAAACTTAGGACAGCTGCAGAGATGGGCAGGATGAGGCACAGCTTTCAAGAGGAACAGGATTTTGGAGAAGAGAGGCAGGGAAGGGTTTGGGATTCCCCACCAGGAAGCCAGGCTGTGCCCAAGCCATGGGGTAGCCAGGGACTTCCCAGCATTATTTGCTTACAGGGTTTAACCTCTGCTGAGCAGAGCTTAGAGAGATGTGATGATTTGGATGGATCGAGGCCAGGGCTGAGTTTGCAGAGGCTGCCAGGGGGCCAAAACTGGGGCAACCTCAGTGGTCCTTGGAAGTGGCTGGGTCTGGGTTGTGGGGAGCTGGGATGGAATAAAGTGACCATCCAGTTTGGATTCAGTTGTGACTGAACTTGTCACAGGAAGGATCTGTGGCTGGTTTGATACAGTTCAAGCTTCAGTGGGTGAAAAGTGGGGAGGGGTCTGAGTTCAGGGGCTGGGAAGATTGAGGCAAGTTTTGGAGAAGGTCAGTGGAGGAGATGGGAGGAGTCGTGGAGCAATGAATAGGAGACAGGGGCTAGAAGGGGATCAATGGGACTCAGATGTTCAGGGCAAGGAGATAGGTGGGGTTTGGAATATTTTCTTTGCTCATAATTATCTCCTCTGCTACTTCTTTTGGAGTACCCAAGGAGATCTCCATGGATTAAGAGTTCAGTGAGTGCTGGTGCCCCACAGGAATGCTCCCTGTGGCAGCTGGTAGCACTGCACAAGTAAATTTAGGTTCCACCTAAATTTGAGAAGAAACTTCTTCTCAGTAAGGGTAACAGAGCCCTGGCACAGGCTGCCCAGGGAGGTGGTGGAGTCTCCTTCTCTGGAGACATTCAAAACCCACCTGGATGCCTTCCTGTGTAACATCGTCTGAGTGTTCCTGCTCTGGCGGGGGGATTGGACTAGATGATCTTTCAAGGTCC